AAGGAAGGGTATGGAGGTGGAGGGGAGGGGGATAGGGAATGGGGAGTTACCTAGAAAAGAAATCGTGTAAACTGTGAAAAGGATCCGCATTTGAATAAATTATTTATTATACAAAATTTCATGACATGCAGCCCGGTATAGTAATTTTATAATGAACAAGATCAATGTAATAAAGTAATCAGGCAAAATAATGAAATGCAATTTCATAAAAATATATATCAACGTACACATATAAATAAAAATGAGGAATGATAATTATAATTATCAAAACCTATTGCTGGATTTGATGTAATATTGAACTTGTTTAAAAACGTTTGTATTGGTTTCTACCGAAAGATGGGTATTACCAGACAAAAGCAATTCTAAATCAAAATCAACATACAAGGCATTCAAATTCAGGAACAGGATGCGTCTTTCGTCGTTAAAAAGTAAGCACTCATAAAAAAAGTGAAAGGCATTTTCACAGGGATGGCCACAATAACAAACTGGACTATCAACAAGATTTACCCTATAAAGATCATATTTAAGTGGACTACACTGATATCTAAGTTTTGTATGCAAAATGTTTAATTTACGTTCACCGAAACATAAGTAGACTGGCGGAGGAGATAGTACATTTGAAGTTAACGAGTTTTTAAAAGAATGTAAAGAAGTCAATGAACGTACTGAAAGGTCCAATGAATTCCAACTACGAAGAGTTGAAGGTATAAAAGATGAATTTGTTAGAGAAAGCCTGATAGGAAGAACTCTATAATCATTATTGTTTCTAAGGGTGTATCGGTTATTTTCTGCAACGGTAGACGGCAATAGATCATTTAAATAGTCCGGAGTTAATTTATTGTGCATCTTATACAAAAGTTGAAGTTTTCTGCGTTTTCTTCGATTCGAAAGAGTTTCTAGACCAGATTCAAAAAGTAAATATTCGATTATGGCATAAGAAGGAAGTCCAGTAATTATACGAATAGCTTCTCTTTGGGCTTTCTCTAACATTTCTGTTTCATAAGTTGTACAACCATCCCACAATTCACAAGCATATTCTAAAACTGGTAAAATAAAAGATTTATAAATCTTTAAAATATTATCTCGATTCAATAAGTATTTGAGTCTACGTAAGACGTTGACTTTTTATCATAACTGAAGTATATATTGCACAAATATGATCCCCCCATTTTGCCCTTGAATTAAAAATAACAACTAAATGTTTATGATGATCAGTAAAATTTAAAACTTCGCCATTAAATTCTAATTCTAAATCTTCATCAATTTCAACCGAGTTTGAAACAAAAAATACTTCCGTTTTTTCTGGATTGAATGCTACTAACCAAGTTTGGGACCATGCATTAAGAGACTCGAGATCTCTATTCAGAACCGTTCGGATTTCTAGACACGAAGAGGATGATTTTAATAAAGAAGTATCGTCTGCAAAAAGACGAGCGGTTAACTCAAAAACATCTTCAATATCATAAATATAGATAAGAAACAAAAGAGGTCCAAGAATCGAACCCTGAGGAACACCTGCTTCAATGAAACCTAAACGGGAGGAAGTATTATTCAAAAAGACTCTCTGGTGCCTCTGAAATAGGTAATTTCCCAACCATTGATAAAATTCTCCTGAAATTCCATAAGATTTTAACTTAATCATCAAACCCTTATGCCAAACCCGATCAAAAGCCTTAGAAATATCGCAGAATACCATACATACATGTGTTTCCCCCTCTAGAGCAATACAGATGTTATGTATAAGGGTAAACATAAGAGGAAATGCTTTCTGAATTTCGTTTCGTTTGTAGCGTAGTTCTTAAATTGTACTTCAGGTGTAGTGTAGTATGCCGCACGTCAATCTGGCGCGTGTTAGCATTCGACAAGATCGTACACAGCAGTAGCCACGTCCATTTTTTTTGTATGTGTCATAGATATTGTAGGGTGGGTTTAACTTTGTATTTTCATTTCATGCGTTTTCTTCTAATTATTGTTTTTTTATTTGTAGAATTCATGCTTAAGATAGTATTTTCAGTGTGGCGTTCCGGAATGTGTACTGGACTGATTGATTGGAATTTGAAGTAAATTCCTAAATTTCTATATTAATTCGCGATTCTTGTTTAAAGAAACATTTTATAATGGAAACACTACTGTGCACGGATCTCGCACACTATTGAATTGTCGAAAATCTGTTTGATTTCTGTTATCATTGCTAAATAGATACGAAGTGATTTATGTACGAATGAGGAACGAAGGAGAACATAACACACGTTTTATGTAACATCCTTTAGGACTATAAACATTTACTTCAGGACGATTTACAGAGATGAAATGTATGAGTTATGGTACATTTAATAATAAGATATCAGAACTGAAAACATTTATACATAAAACTGCCGTTAACACTGCTATGTATGATGTCAGCGCAGCCTCGTTATTATTGTAAAAACCCAACAAATCTAAAACCAATTAAAATATCGATTTATAAGATCAATTTGAATCTTATTCTTACTGTAGTGGGGGTTTAATTCTTTCTGACGGCAGATTGGAGATCATTCCACAGAGGTTTAGTGCTCTGACACTGACTTCCTTAATGAAACACAGCGGAACTTTTGACTCAGTCATGCAATGAATTGTTGATAATGGAAAACGCCAGACGGAGGAGCCGCATTAATTATTGTTTCCGAAGACAGGTGACAAACGGGTCTAACTCGCATGACTTTGATTATAGCACGGTATAATCTTGGTAATGAGGATTTAGAGATGACAGATAAAAAAGAAGTGTTAGAACATGAGCGATACGGGATGCAGCATACGGCCGAGACAGGCGGGACCGGGGACAGAAATACACAGAACGGGCGAGTGATGGAGAATGAGCTAACTCGCTTCTTAACGATCATTGAGTCACTGCCAAAACCTGCTAATATGCATCAGAAACCTTGTTCCGGCAAGACTATAGCTTTCATTTCTGAAAAGAAAACCATACATGGCTGAATTTTTTTAAACTTATAAAGATGAAATAAACCACAGCAACAACAAATCTACCGCATGGTACTTATTGTAAATATGCAATTCTAATGATCAAGATTTGTATCCCTGACCACAGTTTACTGTACTGTTACTCTAACTGACTGAGCTACGAGTAGTTTTACCAGCGATAGTACCCCGGCCCAGTCGTGCCACAATCAAATGAAAACAAAAGCAATACAAAAAGAAGGAAGGTAACTCCAGAGGGTGGTGCAGAAGTGCAGAAGTGGGAGGATGAGAATGAAGATTTAAGAGTGAGAATAAGCACGTGGAGATTAGGAATTGTAGTCCGAATTATTCTGACGTTTTATCGACTTTTTTATATCGGTCTGTCGTCGATTAACGACATTAATCGACGACAGACCGATATAAAAAAGTCGATAAAACGTCAGAATAATTCGGACTATAGGAATTGATGAGTGATTAAAAGTAGGATGGGTGATGAGCGTCAAAATGATCTTTTACACAGATTACCGCTTCGAAGGAAATACTCAACATTTTTTGATGGAATTTGTTTGTGAAACTGGTGCTTGATGGGAAAACTTGAATGTTTAGTATTTGAACAGTACTATTATGTCGAATGCATTCTAACTATAGTCCGTGGTTTTTCAGGTATGTTCAATACTTGGCTTATGCATTTAATAGTCGATCAATTTGTTCAATATCTGGAGCGATATGTTCAATATTTAAGCGATATGTTCATTGCTTGACCAATGCATTTAATACTTGATCAGTTTGATCAATAATTTACCATTATATGTTCAATATTTGGCCATAATATGTTCACTGCTTGACCAATGCTTTTAATACTTGATCAGTTTGTTCAATATTTGGCCATAATACATAGATATATGTTCAATGTTTGGCCATAATATGTTCAATATTTGGCCATAATATGTTCAATATTTGGCCATAATATGTTCATTGCTTGACCAATGCTTTTAATACTTGAACAGTATGTTCAATATTTGGCCATAATATGTTCAATATTTGGCCATAATATGTTCAATATTTGGCCATAATATGTTCAATATTTCTCCATCATATGTTCATTGATTGACCAATGCTTTTAATACTTGAACAGTTTGTTCAATATTTAGCGAATATGTTCAATATTTTACTGTTAAAGGTTCAATGTTTAACTGCTTTGTTCAATGGTTCAATGCTTGACCTATAAGTTAATACCGTACTGTTCAGTCAATGTCGGACCGTTATGTTCAATATTTTGCCTGAATATTGTTCCATTCTTGTCTGTTCTTTTCAAAGCTATCTAAATTGTATATCGGTATGTTCAACGTTATTCTAAGGGTAAACAATTCAACTTTTATCTTTGGCGTCAATATTTCCATTATTTCTTTATTAGATTACTGCTAATTACAATTAACAGACTTGAATACCACATAAATCTATCTGCCCAAGGTTTGATTAGCTTCTCAAATCAATAATTTAAATTGAATCCAGGGCGACATGGTATTGATTAGAAGTAGATGTAGGCTAGGTAGTTAAATGACAGAGGTTAAGACACACTGATTGTATGTTCGTATAGGACCATGAAGCAGTGTACGTCCTCTACTAGATAGTATATTCTACCATAATGTCTAGCCTCTGATCCGATAATCCTGAACCAAATTCGTGAACTATATAATGTCATTCAGAAACTTAATACGTTTCTATTTCATTTATGTAGCCAATCATATGCGCTCATTCAAATGAAACAGATATAGTTACCAGTAATTAGTAAATCGGGTTCGGCATTGGGCGGATTATTCCTCTCGTTTTATTATTGGATTATTTTTATTGGTATTATTGCTAACCCTTTTTTACTCATTTTTTATTTTAAATGAGAAGGAGTGTGGGATGGGTTTTCCACATCCCTATATCCGCTTCTGGACAGTGTCACCGACACCTAACAACTTGTCGAATTGAAATGAACACAGAGCGTGCTATTTCTCAAATGTTATGTACGTTGTTAACGAGAGTCACGTGATAGCTCACTCATGGTTTAGTTCTCATGGGTTCCCCCGCACCGCTTTATCGATCGCAGTTTATAATACAGAACCACCAATGTAAGGATATATTCTTCAGCAATTTAAACACACGATATGAGTTCCCTGTACTAACCGCACAAACTACTGAGATTTATCGGTAGCGAGCATCGGTCCATGTCACGCGCTCTTTCAATCGTACTGGTTAAATATTAATATGTCTGGTTGTGCTACGGATGTGTTGATGCGCTACGTCTGAAGCTGTGTTGATCAAAATGTGATGAAACGTGCGTTATGTGCTACATAAACAAGCATTGCTTTTCAGCCGAGTTGTAAGATAGAAAAGAAAATCATTTTTGTGAGATTATTTAAATGTATTCACTCAAAAGGAATTAGTAGAAAAAATCACACTATGGGTTGTGTGTTAGACAAAAGTGTCGAAGGAAAACATTTGGAAAATGAGACCCCGACCCCCTCGGATTTAAGCCCGGGGGAGGAGCCGCGTCTTACTGAGGAAGAAATCAAGATGCTTGAGGATTGTTGGATTACTCTAAAGGGGGATATAGAGAAAGTTGGGGTCATCACTTTCATTGGGTAAGTGTTTCATCATTATACAGTTCAAGTACTTTACCACCTTGAGTCTTAAGTTCTACTTACTGTTTACGCACAGCGACACAGCGTGGTAATTACGGCAAACACATATAAAAGTATAGTACATGTACATTGCTATGCGTAAAAGAAAGGGAAAAATAACTAGGTATCTCTTCCTATTTCTCCTTATTTAAGTCGCTACTTTTAAATAGTGCACTACATTTTCGCATTTTTATTGTTTATGTTGAAAGTATTGATATGTTATGCGTATACAGTATCGATGTTTGATGTAGCAATTCTAAATAAAGACGTTAATCAATAAAACTTGAAGATAAAATAAGAAATGAAATTTATCTTCATCACGTAACTCATAAATTCTTGTTTTTTTTCTCAACATTTTGATAACTTTTATTTTCGTATCAAAACTGTTGTCAGATATGATCGTTCCGTTCTTTATTTCCGTGAGGTAAACTTTTGCTCCTGGCTAAGTAAAATACGTACATCATTTTACGTTAAATCTTATATGAAGGTACTTAGAAATACTTCTTTTTGAAGATGAATTGATTTTCTTCTGCGCATACCTGTGTACACATATCACCGAGTCTCTCCTGTGTAAGATAATATCACCATTGCATGTTGTGGCTACTTAAAGTTGGGCAACGTTTTTGCATAGTAAAACAGTGGATAAGGGAGGAATTTAGGACCACTTTTCTACTGTTTTAAGGCATGGAAAAGCCATTTCCTGATAACTTAATGCTTTTTCCTCCTTATTCATTCAAAAAACCATTATATAGGCTTCGGGCCGTTTCATCGATGTAGATGTTTTTTAAATTATTCCCAATGATGTTGCAGAAAAAATTGAACAAAATGAATATCGAAGGATTAGCCGAATGTGAGTGGATACAATCCACAATCGATAACCAGGAAGTCCGGGTCCGAATCCCCTTAGAGGAGATGCATCTATGGAAAAGGAGAGCGTAATGAACATGTTTGGAAAAAAACTAAAAGTCTGCAAAATGCTTATCAAAACACCTCTACGTTTGAGATACAACGCTTAGCACTGGGGCTCTCTGTATATTCCCCCCCCNATTTTTGTATCTGCTCTTTGATACAAATGTCGGAGTATATAAAAGTCCGGTGCTGCTAACCAAAATAAGTGTGGTATGCGGTGCAGTTTAAAATCTAAGAAAATTAGAGTGATCTCCCTTATCCATACACGTGCACCCAATGCTATTATGTTATCCTCCAGTATACACTGTTCACGCCATTACCGCGCCCGCCTTTAATGACGAGAGGAGCAGTGTCATCATCCTCTCCGTCCTTCTGTCAACATCTGGATTATCGTCAAGTTTCTTTCTATAGTTTTCGGCAAAATTTCCCAAACTTTTACAAATTGGTTAACGATACAATCGCTAGAGATGACTTATTGACCAAGGTCACATGTGTAAGGTCAAGGTCAAAGATACAGCATATTTTCATGGTGACCGGAAAATGCAATTGACATTAAGCTTGTCCGCAGTTTTCAAGTAAATTTAATGAAATTTCACACAAGTATCCTCGACTTCAGTCTCTGGAGACCAGCTGAAGGTCAAGGTCTTAAGTTCAAGGTCATAGCTACAAAATCTAAACATGATGATGGGGAATTCAGATATGTGGCTTGTCCATAATGTCCGGACTGAACTATTTAACCAAATTTCATGATACTTCACACAAGATTCTGATATTCTGATATTTACCTCTCGGGGTCAAGTGAAGGTCAAGGTCATACGTTTCAGGTCAGTTTCACAGATACAAGACATTCACACAGTGATTTGAGAAAGTGGCTGGTGCGCATGTGTCTGACAAAATTTTCAATCAAATTTAACAAAATTCATGCCATATTTCCCTAACACCACAGCCCGTATTGCTTGCTCAACTTTCAGCATTATCGCATGAGCATGATTGAGAAGATACATACACCATACTCTCAACCTGACTCCTACAAAGATGTCGGTCGGTGATTTTATGTAGCGTAATCAGTACTCTTGTTACCAATTTAACCACTTACATTGCATATAATAGCACTGGATTGATAACATTTCTGTAAAGGATATATATGTATATCTACACACAAATAAACATCTGGTACCCTTATTACAATTCTTGCGACAGGTGTGTTTTTGTGGTTTTTTTTAACTTTATTTTTTAAACTCTCTCTTTCCGGCTATGCCTCTCAAGACACACATGTTTATATGATCTTTAATGCTGCGAGGAAGTTAATGTAAATAGCCTTTATCCTCAAGAACATTTTATTTTTATTTTCCACAAAATAAGATGAAAAGGTATTTTATTTCTAAATCAATTTTAGAAATTGAAGAGATTCACTGCATTAAGCGCAACTTAACAATTGTCTCTGGACGATGATCACCTTTTTTTGAGTTTCAATTATTTCGCGATGAAAGGCGTATAATGTTTCAAAATTTGAAAGCCTTAGATATAGAGTTAAAAGAGCGTCTTTTGTTTTGCATTTAAGATATTTTGGTGGACCTTGATACTTACGTTTTTAGACATGTTCATCATATAATGAAATGCAGCAATAGTTTTTAAACGGTGTTTATTTGTTTTGTAATTGTGTGTATTTGAATGTTATTGTATCAACTTCATGTTTATGCCTATTATCATTGTTATCATGTAATTGTAAATGTAGGACGGAAGATGGCAATGATAAGTTGTAATAACTTGCCAAAACCTTTGTTCAATTTTAATAGGCAATACAATATGTTTATAGTAAACCTATGCTATTAAATGGGTCTGGTGGCCAAGAGGTTAAGGCGTCGGACATTCTGCTACCACCAGCCCTCCACCAATGGGTCACGGTGGCCTAGTGGTTAAGGCGTCTGACATTCTGCTACCACTAGCCCTCCGCGGGTTCGAGTCCTACGTTGGGTCGTTAGGCTTTCCTCCACCACCAAAACCTGGCACGTCCTTAAGTGACATACAATGTAGCTGTTCATAGGACGCAAATCACAAACAAACCAAACAAACAAACCATTTAAATGGGTCTCTATAAGATAGATATGTACGTGTACCAATGTGACTGCAACGGTACATAACATTTATTTTAGGGATCTATTTACGTCGGACAGTAGCTTGAAATTCCAGTCGTGTGCAAAACAGATGTATTTTAAAGTATGTACAGGGTAAGGTTTCTTTATCATCAGTATTACATAATGAAGTCGTGTATCGATTTTATTCAGGTTTTATGAGACATTTTTACCATCAGCAACGTACCGCTATCGACAGAGTGCAAATAAGTTTTGATTTATAACACGATTTGTCATAATTACCCGCTTAAGTTTTAAGATAAGAGTCAGGACGCGTACTTGAAGTGAAATACCAGCTTTTCTGGACGCTGCAGCCCTTATCGATGACACTTAATCAGACATGTACAACGGGAGCTTGTATCGATTGTCCGGTTAAAAGAAAAGATAAAGGCATGGATGCAGCCAAATACATTCCTGTTCCTTCACTGTCTCCCAAGCAGTTGACACGTTAGAAGTTAACCCCCACCGCATGACGTCCTATATAAAATTGCCTTATGTTATCAAATAATGAGATCTAAAGAAAATGTGAGGGGTGGGGGTGGGGTCAACTTCGCGAGCCAAGAGTGGGGTGGGGTGGGGGGATGCGAGTGTATGGAGGTTGGTTGGGTTGGGTTGTGGGGGTAGGGAGTGGGGGAATTGAAATGCGTATAAGTTCACTTATTAAGATCCAAGTTGGATGTATGGGTCGTACAGATGAAATATTGAAAATATTAAATATTTGACGGCTGCTTCAGGAGAAACTGATTTTGTAATAAATATTGAAAAAATTGGAGTGCGAAATCACCAATGGTTATCTGTATGGAAAAACTGCGTTACTCATAACACAAATCCATGTTTTAAACACATTACATCTCAAGCACACACATACACACGCACGCATACACACATATGGAGATATTAGCCAGATGGCATAGGACTAATAGTTATATCTATATGTACTGTAAAGCGCTTAAGGGTGGCTTATGTTAGCTAGATAGGGCGCTATATCAAATATTGTATGTTATGATTATTTTTTATTGCTAGACTAAAACAAACTTTGCGTTTTTTCACTTTGACAGATAAAGTTTGAATTTTATACCTTTGATCATCATAATTACCGAGCAATCGATATTCTTAAACTTTGCTATGTCTTTTTCGACGTTTCGTTAGTGAAACATTCCAAAGCTGATACATGGAAAAAATTGAATTATTCAACTTGCAAGAAGTGCCGTTTTTGAAATAGACAAAATGTAAATAAAGATATTGAAACGTATTCAGTTGGCATTCGTACGGAATATGAAAGCCTCAGGGATTACGGGAACGTTAAACACGCCTCGTGCAATTTTGCTGTAATCCCAATATCATTCAAATTTCCGTACAAAATGCCAAATGAAAGCAGTTCCGTGCTTAAATATTAGAATCAGAAAGAATCTCAAGGTCTGGAGCATTGAATCTGCTTCAATAGGGAGCGTATTAAGAACATTCATATTTACATAACGCTTCTCAGTACCTATTTTAATGGTGCAGTCTTGCTGTAAAAAATCGGCACTGTGGAAATGGCAGAAACATACTTCTAATATTCCATCAGGAGAATTTCTTAAATCTTAAGACATGTGGTTTTCCGAAGTTACCAAACGTTATATTGGTGGAGAAGATACTTTGGATCAATAAACACTTGTATTAAGAAGATTTATATTGAAACTGTTTTTCTCACAATGGGTTTACCAGAGGTGCCTATGGAGACCACAAGGATTATAATAAGAAGGTTTATAAGCATAGGAAAAATGTAGACACCTTAAATGTTACCATGATGACAGTAGATCAGTCTTGGATCTAGAGAAAACGTTCCACGCAGGCGGCCGGGGCTCGTTCCCCAAAGTCGTCGTACGCATGGATATTCAGAGAAAGTGTTTTTCTCCTGCCCACACAACTCCAACAACC